TAGTTCATCTCTTGTCTTGAGTTGCTGTTCATGTTTTATGCGGTATTTTAATCACAGTTTGAACATTGCAACACTTTAACATGAAATTTTTTCGTTCATCTGAGGTCTGGTAGCTGTCCAGAGTGCCACTTATGTTTTGTCTGAGTTGCTGTGCTTTCAACTTTGATGGTGTGAGGTTTAATATTATAAATCAATTTGGGGTAAGCTTGGTCACTTGATCAACATTGAATGCTTAGTAAAAACCGCTGAAATTTTTTTGTGTTTTTGAGAAAGCAAAATTTCGAACTAACAGTGATGTGCCACCCGAGAAATCTGCTCCAAAACTAAATCTTGATGCTTCAAAACACTCCTTTTGGTGCTCCAGAGCTGCTCCAAAACTGTCCTGTTACTGCTTCAAAGCTGCTCAAAAAACGTATTCCTACTCCCAAAGCTGCTCCAAAAGACGAAAGCCGGCATCCACCTCTGCAATTTGACCACTTGGCCGAAATTAAAAAGCATGAAATAATTTTTTAGACTGCCCAATTTTTAGGTAGTCTAAATAATCCATAGTTGACTGTAATCGTATCTTCCAGGCTTTGGCTTGACGATTTTCTCTTTTATTTGTGTGTGTGTGTGTGTGCTTTGGGATCTCCTTAAGAAAAATAAGCTAAGTGCTGTTATATTAGTGCTAAGTAGAGATTCTCGGAAATGTATTCCATAATGCAGATGTCGAAATACATTCGTATATAGTCTAAAATACAGATGCTGAGATACAATTGTCTTTGACATAACGAGATATTTTGGAGATAAATTTGCTAAAAGCTGAAAAAGTATCCCGCAATACAGTTGCATGAATACAAATACTGAAATACCTTTTTGGGGGGCTGATACTGTGCAAATACAGTTATGAAAGTGCAGCATTCTCCCTTTTCGTTTCGACGAAAGAGTGGAAGTGGCACGGGGAAAGAAAAAAACATCACGAGCACCTAGTGACCTTGAGCATTTTTTCTTTTTTTTTCTTTGAATACGTGGCCTTTCAGTGCAATCGCGCACGTACTCGAGGACAAGCGGTGGCCTCAGTAACGACTGAGCGCGCCATGCTCAAGCCAGCCAATGGCTGTGACAAGTGATTTTTAAGTTTTTAGTGTCATGTGTCGAGGGAAGAGAGCAATCTTTAGCTGACTGAGAATTTATTGCGACTTGCAGGCCACATGCTGCGCTATAATATTTGCCTTGGGCATTCTTGGTAGCCTCGACTACCGATCGGAAGCGTTTTCTGACCATGCTCAAGGCCCTTTATATTTGAAGGGGGGCTTCGCGGCAGAGCGGATTTTCCTTGAACAAGGGCTTTTATGGCTTAGCACTGTTACGTTGCAGTGAAACCACCTTTACAGGCAGTTACGTACAGACCTATACATCTATTCGTTCATTGTAAATACTTCGAAAATATTCGATAATTTAAATTCGTATCGAAACGAATTCAAATACTATACTATTCGTTTAAATATTCGAAGCATTCGTATATTTGCACAAGCCTACCTATATTCATTTTGCTAATCGACATATGGCACCTTTTTACCTGTTCGATATTTTCAGTTTCTTATTATTGTTGCGCTATATGGACAGTCTCAGCTGGATTTGCCATCTCCGCCGCCCCGCCGCGGTGGTTTAGTGGCTAAGGTACTCGGCTGCTGACCCTCAGGTCAAATTCTGAATAGCAGCGATGATGCCAAGCAAAGAAGACAGCTTCATGAACTTCAGCGCGCCATTCATCAAACTACAGGGGCCATTTGCCCCGTCGCGGTGGTCTAGTGGCTAAGGTACTCGGCTGCTGACCCGCAGGTTGCGGGTTCGAATGCCGGCTGCGGCGGCTGCGTTTCCGATGGAGGCGGAAATGTTGTAGGCCCGTGTGCTCCGATTCGGGCGCACGTTAAAGAACTCCAGGTGGCCGAAATTTCCGGAGCCCTCCACTACGGCGTCTCTCATAATCACATGGTGGTTTTGGGACGTTAAACCCCACAAATAAATGAATCGTTGCCGTCTCTGCCGCTGCCACCAGGGCTGTATAGCTGGCGCGTTGAAAAAGAGCACCTGGCGGAGAGAGAGTCGTGACACAACTCAGCCGCTCACGCCCACACGACCGACTGCAGTGCATCCCCAGTGAGAGCATGCGCACGCACCGCTGCTGTGCTTTATTTTGGAATGAACTGCCCGAAAAGCTGCTGCACTAGTAGTACTGCTCTGTGGTCTAGAAAAATAAATTTATCCAAAGACTACTCTCACCTAAAAAGTACTAAAAAAACAGACGGCGTGTAAAAAGCACTAAAAACGGTAGGGTGAGACTAGTCTTTGGACAAATAAATTTGTCCAAAGACTACTTTCACCCAAAAAGCACTAAAAAATGGAGAGAAGTCCTGCAAAGTCGACTGCGCCTATGAATATGGCTTCGAAAGAACAGTGCTGTGCCGTGATGGCGACTCTCTTGTCCTGTTTTTTTGGTTGCATGCTGTGTTTTGTGTCAAAGCTAGGGCAGGCTGACATGCCCTCATTGATAAGTCCGTGCTGCGATGGTACCACGCTGCCCACTTCTGTAGTAACATTACAAACAAAAACAGAGTGAATTGTAGCTGCGTCAATTTTTTTTCTGGCATCGTGTGTACACTATGTCCGCGGTAGGTATGCACGGAAACGTTGATCAAGTGAACCACCGTGGCAGCATAGCACGTGTGGTATCGCGCGTTACGCTGAGCGCGCAGGATAGATTCCCGACCACGATGGCTGCACCTCAATAGGGGTGAAATACAAAGAACACCCGTGAACTAAGATATATGTGCGCACTGCTGAACACCAAGCAGACATAATTCTGGTACCCACACTACAGTGCACCTCATCTATCTTGTTTAGCTCATGAAAGCCTAGCAATTATCGATGTTGAACAGGCCCCTTTACTTTAAGCTGACACAGGCAAGGGTAAAAACTGAAACTGTGCATTAGGCAAACTAAACGAGTAAAAATCAAAGATAATTATTTTACGCAAAAAAGCTGCTTTGCTGTGAGGGTTATACTTATAAAAGCATTTACTGTATTTACGCATGTAATGAATGCACTTTTTAAAAAAAATTGTACCAAAGTTGGGTGTGTGCCTATTAAGCGGTGCAAATTTTATGACAACTTTTTCAGGATGAGTGAAAATTGCACTAATTGAAAAAAAAAAAAGGTTGCTTAGCCTTTTGTTACTGAGATATGTGTACACTGTTTGGAAACAGCTTCTTTGTTGCGCTCAACTCATCCTCAGTAGTTGATGGCGCTATCTTCTGCAAGTTGTCCCCGTGCCGCCCGCGGGTGCCATAAAAGCGCTTTGTGGCAATTTTTTTTTCGCAATTTTTTAACCGCAACAGTGGTATCTGCTGTGATCTCGAGGGGTGCCCAGAAGCATGCGCTATGACCCTACGATGCACTTTGCCAATTTCGTGGCAACCTCGCACGATGACTGTGATAATGCTGTTCACATTGTAGCAAGTAACCAGCATTGCAGAAAGCTACCCCAGAAGCATCAAAACAAACTGTCGATAACAAGATTAACGACAGAATACTGCTGCCGCCTTGCTTCTACATGAAAAGTTCCTGTATACACGGAGAACAAAGTAAGAACTGGGGGTGCTACCATGTTGCGGAAATTGTCAAGATATTTTCTAGACTTCATTTTTTCTTTTCTGGTTTTCCAGAAAGCTGTGATGCGATAGCGATGAATGACGCTTCGTGACAGCGAATCCTGTCGTCGCTCGAAGTTTGCGTGCAGATTGTTGGGCCTTAAAGTTTCGTATTTGCATGAAGCGACCGTCTGTTGTCGCGGGCAGTTTTGTGACTTTCGTTCGCTGTGTGCTTATCAGCTGCGATGTCTCTACACTCGCACAGTTCATGAACCCTACTATGGCGCAGAGCTAAAAACGACGGGAGACGTGCTGTGCACAGATAAAAAGAAAACCATTACAGCACGCGGCATTGGAGGAAGAGGGGAGGGAACGAGCCTAGGTGGCTGAGGGTGGTTGGCATAATTATAAAAAACGGAAGAGATCCAACGGGTAAGGAGGCGCCAGGTGTCGGTTAGTGGGAGTGCAGCAGATGAATGCAGGGGGTGCGTTTATTACGTGGGAAAAAATTAATAAATTTGAAGACTAAAGTTAGGGGGTGCGTTTATTATGCAAGTGTGTTCTTTTCGTGAGTAAACACGGTAAACGACAGCAACCTCTCAGATATGCTGCCTGCTAGATAGCGGCAGTGCGATTTCAACACAAGACTTGCCAAGCATTCTTTGAAAAAAAAAAAAAAAAAAAAGGGCTGCTGCACCAACTTAGAAAGATCGGGACTTTGTTCACAAGGCAGATAGCGCTGCCTCTGCAGTTCTGCTCTGTAGTGATATTCAGCATGGGTGGTCAACGGGTAGTGAAACCTTTGGCACCCTCCCTGTGTCGCCAACTGGTGGTGCACCAAAAGTCTTTCATTACCCTTTGCAGACATGTCAGATCATTTTGGTTAAAAATAAATACCAGTGTCCTGCACAGTATAGCAATAAAATAAATACATTGTAAAAGTATTTCACTATGTGATACAAATGCATTTTTAGATTGTATCTTGATACAGGAATATAAATAACTCAAAAGTATTGCTGAAATACTATCGCAATAGTCCCCGCCGCGGTGGTTTAGTGGCTAAGGTACTCTGCTACTGACCCGCAGGTCATGGCTTGAATCCCGGCTGCAGCGGCTGTATTTTTGATGGAGGTGAAAATGGTGTAGGCCCGTGTGCTCAGATTTGGGTGCACGTTAAAGAACCCAAGGTGGTCAAAATTCTGGAGTCTTCCACTACAGCGTCTCTTAATCATATTGTGGTTTTGGGATGTTAAATTCCATATATCAATTAATCAATCACTGCTATGGTAATAGTGCCCAGCCCTGTGCTACTTATTATCTTATTATCTAAACACTTAATTTATAATTCCTTCAACTCTTTCTATGCTTCAGATTTTCCTCGGGATAGAGTGCCAGTTGTTTTAGCACCACTGTTGTATGGTGAAGCATGTGATGTGCTGCTGGTAAAAGGAATGACTGAACCAGCCTCAAACATGTCGAAAGCAGTAAGGAATTCACATATTTTTGGGTTGAATACAGGTTACACAGGTGTGCCTTAAATTTTTTTTTTTCTTTCAGATGGAATTGTCACCTATTGATCTCATCAAAGAATTGGGTTATGGCTTTACTGCAAGGTTAGTCATACACATTCTTTGCATCTGTTGTGTGCATGTGCGTTTACACCACTGCAAAGTATCTTGCTTTACTGTTAATGACTTTATTCACCAACTGATCTTGTGCTGTTCAGTCTGGAGAATAAAAAAAGCTTTTTCAAAATATGCCACTCATGAACACGGACAGTTTAAGTTTAATGTTAGTCTGATAGCCATATTAAAGGAAATAGTGTCACTGTACCGCAAATGAACTTTCCAAAAAGTCAGTTTTTTCTAAGCATGGTACTAAAAGGGCCAAATGTCAATTATATAAGTGCTATCATTATGGCATGCACTCATGATTTAAGCTCTTCGACAGTTTCATCTTACATGATATGGTCATGGTTCTTTGGTCAAGCTGCATAGGCAGAGTTAGAGGCATGTTGCTGTGTGCAGTTCTGTAGTTGCTCCCTTTTTGAACCATGATGTAAGAAATTTGGGACTACTGCTTATTGTAAAAGAATAGGGGGGGGGGGGGGGGGACTGTTAGTAACACTGCCCTTGGGCATTTTGTAAAACTTGCCGTATCTGTTGTTGTGGGCAGGAGTGCTACTATTCTATTTCATCTAATCCCAGCTTGGCTCAGGGAGCTGCTATGACTTTCTTGATTTCCTTGATATTATAGAATTATTACGATTGCCCTTGTATTATGAGTCAGAATTGGGTGGTATAAGAAGTTCAGTTTTCATGCTCTTGTGATTTTGTCCTTACTCCCTGTTTTTGTTCCTCTACCATCCCCCAAGTGCTTTTCACTTACTTTCTCAGCCTCATTCTTTTTTTTTTTTTTTTTTTCACACTGTTGCTGAAACCCAAGGCCTCATATGGGCTAGTACTGAAACAAGGATTGATATTTTTACATTAAAATAAAACATGGTTCAGTCATTTCTAGGCCTCTGAAAATTGTAAATTTTATGTTGAAATCTAATTTGATGTGGATAGTGATGTGGTTGAGTGATTTATGATTGCATTTTAAATAGTATGTATATCACATATTATGAGGAGACTTAACAAAGTGGCTGATTGGGCTAGTTGGTTTAGCATACATGAGGTTTAACAGTACGAAAACCTCAATTATGAGAGAAGATGAGCATTTTTATCCTGCCCCAACCACCCTGCGCAATATCTTAAAAAAAAAAAACAATACAGATCAAGGCATGTGTAAGTGCCATTCTTTGTTTATATAAGTGGAAGTAACTTTGAATAGAAGGAGGATTTGACTTACAGGAGAATGCAGTTGAGCCCACATATAATGGCCCCACTTAAATTGAACTTTCGCTTGAGTGGAAATATTCATTATTTCAATGGCACAAAATCGCACTTGCAAACAACGTCTTTGAGCGTCCGGCGACTTCCCAGAAAGCCACTTTCGGCCACCGATAAGCTATCGGTGTGGAGCCCATAGATTCTTATTGTTAAACGTCGGCCCTGCTTCTACAGCCCTTTAGTTGTCGCTCTCCCCGACTGTTTTTGTTATGCACCTCCTTCGTCCTTTGTCCCCCTGCTACACTGAGCACCCCACATCGCCAGATGAAGCCAGTGTTTTGATACTGTGACCGATCTTTCGAAGACTGGTTGGCCAACTATTCTCCCATCAGTTTTTCATCACTGGTTTTGTTACACTATCGTTGGTGTCGCCAGCCTGGAGTGACCAGACCATTTACCAACATTGTTGACCATCGACTGTACCCGATCGTTAGCGTCTGTGTATTGTCAGCATCGATATCGTATCGTTCCAGTGCACGTGCTCACGCTACCCCTCTGACATTGATCATTCGCAAATCGATCCATGTTTAGGACCTGTTCTCGCTGACTTCACAGCATGCCCTTTGCACGCGTTCGAAAGCATAAAAACGACTTTTACTTGGAACAATTCATGAATTATCGAAGTCGGCGGGGCCACGCAAGACCACCAGCGCCACTATGCGATTCGTTCACCTCTGCGCGTGCAGACCGCTCTACCAAGTTTTTATACGAGCGATTTGCTTGTTTTGTGAACCCGGAAACCTTTCCGTCCTGCCTCCTTCTGCGTGTTTTGGTTATCAAGGTCGCCGTCCTGCCGTATGCTCTCCTTTCGTCACTCGATCGCAATTCTTCGCATCTCTCAAGTCTGCTCTCCTGTCTTATTCGCAACTCTGCCTGTCTCCACTGCTCCGCGACATCAGCCATGCTGGCTTGAATTCAGAAGTTTCGTATTCTGACTAGAAACGGGCCCAGAGCATGCTGGCTTCGTCGCGCATGTGCATTTCACTTGGCTGTTCATGGGGAAAGGACATAATGTCGCTGTTGCATACCTGCCAACTTTTCTGATTTTCCCGTAAAATGTGCGAATTTCAATTGCGTGTACGGTTTTACGAATCTTGCCTGAAATTTTCGAAAAATATTTCATTTCCGATAAAAACAAAATTTGTAAAATAGTGTGGCCTCCGCAATTCGCTATGGCGCAGTGCCGTAGCCTGTCGCGGAGGCCACAAAAACGGCATTGAGCTATATTCCGCCACCAGGAGGAAACTATGTATTGGTGTTATTATCACATACTTGCGAAGTCATTCGTGTGTAGGGTTGACATGAAAATCTCCCCAAAATCGAAATTTGTGTGCGGAGATCTGGCCGCATCGACAAAAATGCAGGCCAGTCTGTTCCAGGCTTTTTGCGAGTCCATCGCATTATAAACGAATTTGAGAGGCGTTCGTCTAAACTTACAGTGGAGTCTCAGTGATGCAAAACCGCGACAGATACGGATTCGTGAAATTCCCCAGCCAAATTCATGGGTTTGTTGGGCCAAAGTTTGAATGTTCTGAGCACTTTTTCTAATCGCGGCGTGTGATATGAACTTTAGTACCGAAGATTGAGAGCAGCATGCTCGAAGCTTCGGGTGTGACCTGCACACGCACTGTCTTGTACAGTGAATGTGGTTGTTGTTGCCACAACTGCTGTGGACCAAACTGTGGTCGTTCGACATGATCATGTATGGCGACGACGTTACTGACAGAACTCCTAAAGTGTTCGTGCGACCAACGTCCATACAGTCAAAGCGACGCTGCTTTCTGCAAACTCTGTGGAAAAAACCAGCGGCAATCGTGACCATAGATAGCATAAGAAGACTTAGTTTTTAAGGCATGTGGATTGAAAGCAATACCGTTTGCTGCGAACCGCCGTGCACAAAACCGCGGTCGCGGTGATGCGATAGCGATCTACGAGCCCCGAGGGCACTTGGCTGACGCAGCGGTGCGATGAAAGGCGGTAAAGACGTAACAAGGGCTAGAAGCGTTTTGCCGTTCCTGTCCAAACAATGTAGGAGCGAGCAAAGGCAAAGCTTTGACACGCGCTGTCGCGGCAGCCAGCTGCTCCGCCCCGTTTGTTGACATGTGTCCCAGGAAGACATATGCGAGTTGTTTTGACAGAAATATATTTTGCTAGTTGTTTTGATGATGCGAAGTTTTGGCCGGGGGCATTTGAGCTCCCTTCCCTCACCTTAGTGGAAAACCCTACCCTCGTGTGTTGGGCCACTCCAAGCCATTATGAGACCGCAGCGCCAATGTTAGCGCTTGCGTTTGGGAACCCCCATTGTTTTTAGCGATGTGTTTTGTTTTTTCTTTTGGTGGCATAAATAGGGGAAAATAATTCAGCGCGCCAATTTGACTTATGGCAGGAAAAGGCGATTATGCTTGTCGCTAAAGGCATATTTATCACAGATACAAATACAAATTAAAACAAAAGTCTGTAGCCCCCCTCCCCCCCTCTCCACTCAGGAATTTTACGAATTTCTTTGTTGCCAGGTTGGCAGGTATTTTGTTAGTGTGCGTGTGTGGTCAGGATGGCGCAAGGGAGGCATTCTGCACTTTTTTCTTCCGCTGAACAAAACGTCGAAAGTGTGACCACTTGGCTTGGGCGTAATCTGTGTGTTTAAGGCTTAATATAGCTGCCGTGTTGTGGAGTGCTTGCTTATATCTGTTGACCACACAATAAACTTGCCGCTTTGGTGGTCCGTCTATTCAGCTGTGAAGATGGTGAAGGCTTCGGGGTCGGCGGTGATGGCTACATGTGTGCGAAACTGTTTTTGCGAGGCAGACTTTGTCGATGTCGGATGCGATGCCGAGCCTGAAGCTTCCGAACAGGATCACTCCAGTGGCGATTTGTGGCAGTGCGTCATCGACTCCGACATAGAAGGACATGCAGGACATCTGTTGCGATGATTTCATTACAGTTAATAATGATGCCAACACTGCGGAACCATGCATGAATGAAGGCATTGCGAATGAAGTGCATGGCAAGAGTGAATTGGAGGAATAGGACTGCGAAGATGTTGAAACTTTGGAGCCAGTGCCACAAGCGTGCTTGTAGCAATTGGCTACATTAATAGCCTCAGGCAGCCTATGCCATGGGCCTCGGCGAAGAGCACGCTGCCTCTTTAAATAAACTTTAGACCATGTTTAACGCTTCTCCTGTTTTCGAAACACGTTTATCATGGACTTTTTGGAGAAAAAAATTGTTTTGACTTACAACTTTTTTTTAAAGCTATGTTATATTTACTACGAACTTGGGAATACAGCGCATGATTATTATGTCATGCTCACATTGGTTATAAGCAGGCTCGACTTTAATAACCTGTCAAATAAGTTATGTTTTGAAAGGTACTTTACTTAGAGCATATAAACTGGTATAACAAGCTTATTAACCCTCTGAGAGTTAATTTTTTACCCAATTCACTATAAAAATATAATTTTTACATTGCTGAAATAAATTTTCCAACTAGTTCTATTGAAAAAAATTGTTTGAAATATTTTTGCATGACTGTAAAGTGACAGAATACTTTTTTTACATGCAAATGGTTTATTCACGAATAACATAAGCAATCCATACTATTTTTTCATTAACGCTTTCGAGATACCACTCCATCATCATCAGAGTCTGAACTCTTTCTCTGATAAACTAACATTCAATTAATCGGATTCTCATTGTGCAGAATCTGATTTGGCACTTGTGGAATAGTCCTCATCGGAAAAATCACTCGCTAGCAGCAGAGCAACCTGTACGCATTTGTGTTGCGCAAACAAGCTGCTTGAGTGAATGCATGGAAAAAACTACGCCCGTCTAAAAAGTAAAATGAGTAAAAAAGCTATATTATTCATTCGCCTTATCCCGAACAAGATGAAGTTAGTTTTTCAGAGTCTGCAAAACTGAAAACTCAATCGTGGTGGCATTGTTCGTGTAATTTAGTGCTGCAAAGGAACAGATGCAATTGTGCCAAGGGAAGATCTAAACGAAAGAGTAACAAGTGGTCATCCTTTGAGAGATTAGGAACCAGACAGTCACGAGTTTTACTGCCGTGATAAAGTGATAACCACACGGACAAAAACAAAATCAGCCGTACTGTGTACAGGTGTTTGAATGCGTATATGAAAGCCGGCGTTCTACTTTGGGGGACGGGGGACAATCGAGAGACATGAGTCATTGAAAAAAATTGCAAGCATTTCTGAAGCGTGGCATCACATGCCAAGCAATCGAAACAATCAATAGAAGGCGTGCGTTTTAAACATACAGGCAATGATGCACTTGTACTTTGAAAGCGCTTCAGTGCCTGTTAGGTATTATATGGCGAAAACACTTAAAGATATAAACTTCCAAAATGATGAACTGATGTGAGGGTAACACTATGTTAATTTAAGCTTATAGTGGGGCTTCACAACAGTGTGGATATTTCTCGGAAAAGTGTAATCATGGTATAGCACTTCTACATTACAGCGAAACCATCCTTACAGGGGGGCTACATGCAGGCTATCATGCAACTATTCGTTGATTTTGAATACTTCAAACTTTCCTGTAATTTAAGTATGCAAAGGGCTCAGATATTCACGAAAGCCTATTAATTTTACTAGCTTTCCCATAGCAAATACATCTGTCTCCTGCTTTAAATGGTTGTACCACCACCCAGGAAATGTAGGCCCATAACTATATCTATTCTCTAAATAAGCATGGTGTGTTCAAAGTTGTGCATAATCAAAGTGGGATATGGACCATACACATATTTTTTCGTAGTACAGCGTGTTGAAGCATTCTTCATAGCATTCTCCGTTTAGATGTGCTTGAATGCCAGTGATTAAATGAAAGCAATTTTATAGAGCAATGTTCTTAAGAAATCGGTATATTCTACGAAAGCATTGCCAAGTGTTAATTTGAGTAATGAGTAATATGTTGTTACGTCATCTGTCAAACTATGTAAAGCTCAAAGTTTAATTGGAGAAACAGTGCATTTGTGCTAAAGGCTTTGTATCATTTGCCTTTTTGTGTTATAATTTTAACATGATTTTTTTGCTATTACTTTAAAACACTAATAGAAAGTGCTGCCTGATGCAGTTGTTTTCAGTATTTTGGTTTTGCATGCTTACTCATTTGAAAGCTTTTTCTCATCTCATTTTATGCCTCATTTTCTTCTCTCCCACTCCCAGCCTGTTCCTATGGTCAGTAAACTTTTCTTTTTGTGTGCTTTATCTGTAGTTGTAAAAACACTCGCTAATGCTTTTTGGCGTTTGTGGTACAGTGTGGAAGAATGTCGTCAGAGCTTGGTCCAAGTGGGTCTTCGAGACCCTGGGCCAAGCATGGTGGCCAGAGTGCTGTCCATGATGGCCAACACTCACACGGGTCTTTCTGAGCCACTGCAAGGCCTTGGGTCATCAGCGACGTCTCCTTGGAACGCCGACAAAGATGCCAACACAAGCCATATTACCTGGAATATTGACATATTCATTCAGGCACTTTATGACCTGGTGGGTGTGACATCTTGTGCTTTGTCCCTCTTAGGTTTCAAGAGGTGCTAACTAGCTGATAGTTGTGATATGATTTCCTGCAGCAGTGACTTTTAATGGGCCTGCATTGATGTCAAGAAACGAATGAGCTCCGTCCTGAATGTCAACAGCCCCGCCGCGGTGGTCTAGTGGCTAATGTACTCGGCTGCTGACCCGCAGGTCGCGGGATCGAATCCTGGCTGCGGCGGCTGCATTTTTAATGGAGGCGAAAATGCTATAGGCCTGTGTGCTCAGATTTGGGTGCATGTATAAGAACCTGAGGGGGTCGAATTTCGTGGATCCCTCCACTACGGCGTCCCTCATAATCATATAGTGGTTTTGTGACGTTGAACCCCACATATCATATTAATCTGAATGTCAACGTAATCATCAGCCTGACTATGCCCGCTGCAGGAAAGTTTCATGAAGCTGTGTTTTTTAAGTTCCAGAGTTGTTGAGGTTTAACTGGGTTGAACTGGGTCGTTCATGTGGGTGCCTGAGGAAGAGTCATGAGGAATCCCAGGACATAGTATTCATTGTGGTCGGCCCCGCCGCGGTGGTCAAATGGCTGGGTACTCGGCTGCTGACCTGCAGGTCGCGAAATTGAATCCTGGCTGCGGCGGCTGCGTTTTCGATGGAGGAAAAAATCTCCATCGAAAATGCTGTAGGCCCGTGTGCTCAGATTTGGTGCACGTTAAGGAACCCCAGACGGGCGAAATTTGCGGAGCCCTCCACTACAGCATCTCTCATAATGGTATGGTGGTTTTGGAATGTTAAACCCCACATATCAATCAATCAATGCATTTTGGTCATTTTTCGATAGATATCCCAGGGTGCTACAAAGCCGTTTTTAAAAATGTACCCCCCCTCCCCAAAAAATGTTCCCCCAACTTTGAATTTGTTGTAGATAGTAAATGCCAGATTCATGAAAACTTAATTGTTTATTATAAAAACAAAGCTTCCGATTTTCAAAAAAAAGGAGCTTGTTACGTCCTGGCAAAGTAATTCATAAACAGAATTAAAAAATAATGGTACACAAATTTGATGAGCCGTCCTTGTGTTTTAGCTTTCCTCAGGACCACAACTAGCAAAAAAAAAATGATTTTGAGAAAAACGTGTCTGTAATATTACACGACAACCGAAGCATTCCACGCCTTTTTGTTCAGGATGATCGGAGCGTTGCAAAATGCCCCGCTGCGGTGGTCTAGTGGCTAAGGAACTCGGCTGCTGACACGCAGGTCGCGGGATCGAACCCTTGCTGCGGCGGCTGCATTTCCCATGGAAATGGAAATGTTGTAGGCCTGTGTGCTCAGATTTCGGTGCGCGTTAAGGAACACCAGGTGGTCAAGATTTCTGGAGCCCACCACTATGGCGTCTCTCATAATCATATGGTGGTTTGGGGACGTTAAACCCCACAAATCAAGTGATCGAGAGCGTTGCAGAAATGCAGTTAGTGCGTTGCTTGAAAAATGCGCGACTTCACTGTGTAAAAAAAAAAGGCTACTTGCTGCACCCTTTTATGGAAGAGAGTGAAGCAGGTACAAATAACGCACGAACTAGCACATGCAGGAAGTGGCCTGGCAGTGGCGACGTGAACCAAATAGGCTACATGCTGCACACAAGTTGCCAAGGATGATAGCCACGACGGGACGGTACCATTTAACTCACTCATGAGCACACAGCAGGCATTGTTTCACGACACGAAAAGGATAACTTGTTGCATGAGCAGTTGTTGGCACTTTTAGGTTAAGTGGTATTTGTGTTCAAGTACACAATCGTTCACTGTTACAGGGAACATTGGAGTGTGTGACGGCTGTTTGGTGCCACTTCCGGCAAGCGGCTGCAACAGTTTTTGCACAAGCACAGTGAATGCCATGCACTGTGCTCTTCCGTCTCTGAACAGTTTCCGTGACGAGGATTCGAAGTGCAGAAGCATGTGCCACTGACTGACACTACCACATTTGATTGAACGTGTATACTCTATAAGATAATGCGAAGAGGGGGATGACCACCACCATAGTTAAGTGGTAGAGCATTTTTGGCAAGTTTGGTCTCTGCCGGCGGCAAGTTATCTTTTCGTCCACTTTCATTTCTTCACATTTACATTAAAATTACTTCTAATGACATCCCCTATACTTTCCTTGGTGTTATTGTCTGTTAGTCCTCATAGTTGTTGTGAAAATGAGCCTTTAAATTTACACTTTTTTCCTTGATTCGCAAGTGCTGTGTGATAGGGCTACTGGCTTCTACAAGACTGCTCTAAAAATGTCTTTCCAGATGCTTCAAGCCAGCTACAAAAGGCACCTTTGCCTGTTCCCGGAACTAGTCCCAACTGAGGGGTAATTCTAGACGCCTAAAGCACCACCGGAAGAAATAATCACAGAGAAAGAGCGTCAACTCGCAACTGATTTATTTGCAGGAGAAACGCAGGAAATATATAGCCGCACACGCATGTGCAGAGCACACTACTTCATCTAGTCACATGACCACAGACATAAACTGAGGACGTTCAATTGGCATATCTAATCAAGCAACGAAGCGCAATAATCAAACTCAGACTTGCGCAAGACGACTGACGTGTCACTTATACACAAGTCACCTTTTTTCTTTATCCAGAACGCTTCCATTATTTCACGGGCCAGAGCATCTGGGCTCTTGGCGAAGACAGAAACGCTTTAAAAACTCGCCTCACAAGAACAGAAACGGCAATGCGCAGGCAAATGTGTGCCGGAATTATTTCGAATTGAAAGCTCATGTTCCCTAATTCTCACGTTCAAACACCGTCCAGTTTGGCCGATGTCAACCCGGCCACAACTAAGTGGGATTATGTACACCACACCCACTACGCAAACCATATACATCAAAGCGTGTATTTTTCCACAGGTGGAGGCGCACGGTGTTTTAGAAATACGTGGGCATAGGCCAGCCAGCTTTCGTGGCGCAGAAAAAAACAAGACATTGTACCTGCTCGCCATGTTCTTAAGGTTGTGTGCTACCTTATGAACATATAGAACAACCAACCATAGGTCGTTTATCCCTCGGCTGCCTGCATTTTCGTTTGCCCTTGAACTTTTGAAGGAGGGTTTCCGAAATGGATACAATGACAGAGTTAGGATAGCCAGCTGAATGCAGCCGCCTAACCTGATTCAAGTAGCTATCCTGCATCCTGTGATGGCAAGATTTCACTAGCGCACCCTCGAGACACATGGTTGATAGACATAAACTGAGGACTTTCAATCGGCATATTTAATCAAGCAACGAAGCGCAAAAATCAAACTCAGACTTGCGCAAGACTGACGTGTCACTTATACACATGTCACCTTTTTTCTTTATCCAGAACGCTTCCATTATTTCACGGGCCAGAGTATCTGGGCTTTTGGCGAGGACAGAAACGCTTGAAAACCTCGCCTCGCAAGAACAGGAACGGCAATGCGCAGGCAAATGTGCTCCGGAATTATTTCGAATTGAAAGCTCATGTTCCCTAATTCTCACGTTCAAACACCGTCCAGTTTGACTGATGTAAACCCGGCCCCTCAGTATGACGAACCAACTAGCCCAACAACAAGTCTTCTAAACTAGTCCCATACCTATGTACTCTGTTCTACCTCTGCATTTTTTATCATTACAGAAATGTTCATTGTCACATTCAAACTGAAAGCTTTCATAATCAACAGTAGCATTGTTCAAGAGGTTTTTCTTGGTTTTGTTTCTGATTCAACGCTAGTATACAAAGGGTCACTCTTTCATTAATCCATCCCCACCCTTCCTTGAAGGGTCGGTAGTTTATTTTCTTGGGAAAAGGTGGCCCCCTATCTTTAGAAGAGGCAATGTCAGTTTGCAAACACGTATAGGTAGTAGTGGCTCGAAATGTGAAGATGAGTGGAAGGAAGGGACATGGGGGTCACAGAATTTTGGAGGAGCTGTTTGCTTTTGCAGCAGCCACCAAATAGTCCACACTGTCATGCATAGTGACTGTTCATGGCTGTGAACGCGAGACAGTGGAGTTTGTGAGCTCTCAATACGTAACAGTTATGGTTGGCAAATGTGTAAATACATTCGAGCCCGCTTATAACGAACCTAAGCCTGACGCGGCATCTGTTCGCGAAGTTCATAGTAAATGAAACACAGCTTTTAAAAAAGTTGCGAGTGAAAACACAAGCTTTTTTTTTTCCCCAAAAAGGTCTGTGATGCACCTGTTTCGAAGAGCACAAGGTCTCGAGTTTATTTCAAACGGCAGTGTGCTCGTTCGCCGAGGCCTGTGGCATAAGCTGCATGAGGCACTGGCTCCAAAGTTTCGTCGTTCTCACAACCCCATTCCCCTAAGTCGCTCTTGCCGCGTACTTCATTCGCAATGCCCTAATCCATGTACGGTTCCGCGGTGTCGGCATCATCATTGGCCGTAATGAAATCATCAAAACAGATGTCCCACCCGCTCTCCCATGTCTGAGTCGATGGCGCGCTGCCACGAATCGCCGCTGCAGTAGTTCTGTTCGGAAGCTTCAGGCTCGACATCGGGCTCGACGTCAACGACGAAGTCGGCCTCACGAAAACAGTTTCGCGTGCTTGTAGCCGTCACCGCCGCCCACAAAATACTCACCCTGCACAGCTGAATACCGGAACGCCCGAAGCGGCAAGTTGACTGCCAGGTGGTCAACAGCTATGAGCAAGCACTCCGCAACACGGCACCTAACGCACGGATTATGCTTAACGCAAGCGGACATTTCCGGCGTTTTGTTGCGCAGCAGGAAAAAGCGTGCAAGTCCTCCCATCTGCCATCGTGGCCTCACAAGCACACCAAGAGTAAGCAAGACGCACACACGCGATGCATATACCAGAACGGGTGGAACAGCTCTGGGCCCGTTACTAGTCTGAAAACGAAACTGGTCCGAGACAGCGTGGCTGGCGTTGCGGAGCGGTGGAGATGGGCGAAGGGGTTGTGATCAAGAGAAGAGAGCAGATTTGCAAAAGAAGGGCAGGGAGTTGCGATAGAGTGAAGAGAGGGGTGGATAGGGCGGGAGGGCGACATTGAAAACCAAAACATGTGGGAAGCAGGCAGGTCGGGTAGCTTGCTTGAAAGGTCCGCGAAACGTGCAACTCGCGCATATAAAAACTTGAAAAGAGTGCCTGCGCACGCAGAAGTCAAAGCGGCGGCCTGGATCAGCGCGTGCGGCGATGTTCAAAGAATCCGCGGCCGTGGTCAAAAAATTGTTTTGTTGCGCTGGCGGGTTTGCGTAGCCTCACCGACTTCGATATTTGGCAATTCGTTTCACACAAATGAACAGTCGTTTTCGCGCTTCCACACGCGTGCGAAGGGCATGCTGAGCTGAGTGTGAAGTAAGCGAGAACAGGTCATAAGCACGAAACGAATCGCGAATTATCGGAGTCCGTGGGGTAGCGTATGCGCGTGCACTAGATGCAGACTATCGGATACAGTCGGTGGCCGATGTTGTCAAATGGTCTGGTCACTCCAGGCTGGCGACGCCAACGACAATACCAGCGATAAAAAATGGGGGAGAAGGCCGACCGGTCTTCGAAAGATCGGTGGCATTGTGAAAACACGGGCCTTGTCTGGCGATGCGGGGTGCTCAGAGTAGCGGGGGGGGGGGGGGGACAAAGGACGGAGGGGTGTATAACAAAAAGCAGTCAGGGAGAGCGGCAACTAGAGGGGCGCAGAGACAGGGTCGCCGTTCAACAATAACAATGTATGGGCACCTCGCTGATGCCTGATGCGGGGGTCGAAAGTGGTTTCCCGGAAAGTCGGCAAAGCGCGAACCCCGTTCGCTGTAACCGATCGGCGGCGCTCAGAAACGTTCGTTGTAAGTTTGATTTTGTGCCATTGAATCAATGTATATTTTCACGGTCATGCGGATATTGTTCGTTCTAAGCGAATGTTTGTTTTAAGTGGAGCCGTTATATGTGGGTTCGACTGTATGACCATGTATTTCCCTAATGCAGGGGTGCAGTAGCTGTGCCAATCGCCCCAATTCGAAACAAATCCCTACATTTAGGCTAAGTTGAGCAAAAACAAGGAAGTTTGTGAAAATTGCGCTATGCTGCACCAAAATGCCCGACCAGCCTCAAAATTTTCTCGCTTGTGGTAACTCTGTGAGAAATTGAGGCACAGACCCTTATTATTCACTATAGTGTGAGATGTGATTGATCTGATAAAGTAACAATGCTGCATGCCCATCTCGTCCGCTAACTGCAGATACAAGCTGTCAGTGGGATGACACATATTCAAGACAAAAGTGCATTACCGCAGCTACCAATGTTTCGCGGAAAATATTAATGCTTTGGAAAATATTAATTTCCTAGTCGGCTTACGGGGCTACTGCATGCTCAAAGTAAAGCTGGAAACCCATGCCGCGTTTTTTTGGGGTGAACAAATGCGAAGTGGTGCCAACGCTGATCCGGGAAGCGTGCTGTTGTTACGTTATCTGGTGAAATGTGCCTTGCAAGCAAGCCATGAAGTTGTGCCTCAAACTAGCACATCTCGAAATACTTTTTTTGGAGGATGTTGTCTAAACCTAACCACACTGTGAAAGAAAAAAACACGCTCTCACACTCGCTCACTCACTCACACTCTCTCTCTCGGTTCAAAATTTTCTTGGCCTTCTTTCTCCACAGTACACCGATGCTGTGCAGAAAAGCGCACAGGTTTACAGCGGGCTGTTAGTACTGATCATTGGGCACAGCACATTTTGCACATACGTGTATCCGCTGCATAATAGTCAATACCGGTATGATCACCGACATCTTAAAACAATTACTGGAAATTGTTTGGAAGACATTTCTGCAACCCTAAGAAACAAAACTGTGCGTCAGTTTTTTATCATTCCCACTTGTTACTGCCCCAAATTTCAATCAAGGTCACCAGCTTTTCAGATCCACATTTAAATTGGCAGAAGGATTTTACAGGTGCTGCAAATGCTAATGTGGGCATAATTGTTCGCACTGTGGGATGATGCAAAATACGGCTTTTATTGAAATAGCAGTGCTCGTGTGTACTGTGCACAATTTAGGTGATGTTGAATGGCTTGTACATACACTTTTTTCTAAAGTATGTCTTCTTTGTTATATTGCTCTAAATTTGCGATTTTGTGGTAAAGAAATCGATGTTTTTTTTCGTAATCTACTCTAAATTTGGATTTTCATGCTTCAAAGGCAACGTTTTGCTGCTCCAAAAGTTGCTTGAAATCCTATTTCGGCTGTTCCATACCTGATGCTGGATCAGTTTGTGATGCAGCCCCCTTTGGTTGGACGCCGATGAATACTGCACCTTTCAAGTTATCAATTTTTGCTTGCTCTGTTGTATTCAAATCTTTGCAGGTACCTACACTGAGCTGGAAGGAAGTGGTTAGTGAACTGGACTTTCCAGGCTTTTTTGTGAAGGACCGTCAAGGCCTGAAGCTCCTCTGGCATGGCTTGTGTAGAGGGCTCGGTAGTGAGCCCTTCCCTACTGACCGCTTGTACAGAGTTTGGAGGAACCCGGACTCCCAGGTTGGGGTTTTGTGCAACTTGTCATTAGCATAAAATTGCTGTTTTCAATTAACTTTGATGTGTGTTGCATGTGCAAGTTATGAAATGTTCTAGATCGCAAATGATAGGCCTTTTGTTGAAATAGAGAGACTGAGAGAATTGGTCCGTTGATCCTGCTGTTGTAGTCAGCAGCACCATTCCTGGGTAAATGAACTGCTAGCCATAGCTTTGAAACATCGAAAAAATTGTGAACTGTTGGGCTAGTGTTATTTTTGCGACCTACTTTGTTGGGCAGAAGCATAGCACTGTTGCTTCATGTACAATGTTTAGTTCATGTGCTATTAATGCTAATATGTCTACCTGCCAACTCTTTCGATTTTCCCGTAAAATGTACGAATTTCGACCGCACTTATGATTTTACCAATCGTGTCTGAAATTTTACGAAAACTATTTCATTTACGAAGAAAAATAAATTTAGTAAGATAGCATGGTTTCCGCGGTTGGCTACAGCGCATTTCTGTAGCTAGTCGCAAAGGCCACAAAAATGGCACCACCCGGAGAGAACAATATGTATTTGTGTTATCATCACCTGACATACCTGCCAAGTCTCTCGCTATTTCGGGGAGACTCCTGGATTTCGATCGTTTTTTTTGTTTGTATTGTTGCTATGAAAATCTTCCAGAAATCGAAATTTGTGTGCAAGATCTGGCTGCATTGACAAAAATGCAGGTCAGTTCGTTCCAGGCGTTTTGTGAGCCCACTGGCATTGACAAAAATGCAGGTCAGTTCGTTCCAGGCGTTTTGTGAGCCCACTGCATTTTATTATATGAGGCATTCATCTGAACGTACAGTAGAGTCTCAGTGATGTGAAACTGCGGCAGATACGAATTCTTGAAGTTCCCCAGCCAAATTATTGTGTCCATTGGGCCGAAATTTGAATGTTCCGAACGCTTTTCCTGATTGCGGCGTGGGATGTAAACTTTAGTACTGAAATCGTCGAACGAAGGCCGATTGAACGCAGCTTGCTTGAAGTTTCGGAAATACGTGTGCGACTGGCGTGCGCACTGTCTTGTACAGTGCATGTGGTTGTCGTTGCCACAATTACTGTGGACGAAACCTGGTCGTTCAACACAATCATGTATGGTGACGATGTTGCTGACAACTCTAAAAGTGTACGCACAGCGAACGCTTGACCAGTCAAAGCAACGCCGCTTTCCGCAAACTCTGTGAACAAAACCACGATAGTTGCCATCATAGATAGCATAAAATGACTTAGTTTTTAAGGCACGTGAATTGAAAATAAAACTATCGTTTGCCGCTACCATCGCGCACAAGACCGCGGTCGCAGCGGTGCGATAGCGATCTAAGAGCTCTGAGGGCACGTGACTAACTCAGCGGTGCCTAAAGGTGATAAAGACGTGAAAAAGGCTACAAGCATTTTGGCGTTGCTGTCCAATGAATCTAGTGGTGAGCAAAACTAGCTTTGACCCACGCTTTTGTGGCAGCCAGCTGCGCCGTCCCGTCCTTTCACGTGTGGAGACATACGCGAGTCGTTTTGACGGAAGTCTATTTTTTTGCTAGTTGTTTTGATGACACAAAGTTTCGGGAGCATTTTCGCTCCGCCTTTGCGACACTCACCTTAGTGGATTTTCGCTCCGCCTTTGCGACTCTCACCTTAGTGGGAAACCCTACTCTCATGTGTTCGGCCACTCCAAGCCATTATGAGACCTCAACGCTGATATTTGTGCTTGCGTTTGGACCCCCCTCTCCCTCTCGTTTCTTTTTGTGAAGTTTTTTCTTTTGGTGACAAAAATTGGGAAAAATAATTCAGCACATTGATTTGACTTATGGTGGCAAAACATGATTAAGCTTGTCCTTAAAGGCAAATTCATCACAACTACCAATTAAAAAAAAGTCTGTAACTTCCGCCCCCCTTCCCAGCTCGGGGGCTTTATGAATTTCTTTGTTGCCAGGTTGGCAGGTATGTAATATGTAATTTGCTAATGAAGACGTCAGCTTGAACCTTAGAGTTTTTGCGTAGCATACCATGCTGGCTTGAAATCATTTTGCGCAAAAAATGGGATGAGGCTTATTAATTTTATTTTGTAAATGCTAAGGGGTGTTACAAACCAACATAAAATTGTTTGTTTTGACACAACTGTGAAGATTGAACAAGAGTTCGTATATCAGCTGTGCAGGGAATCTTGGCTCTAGAAAAAATTGCAGATGATGAGGCTCTTTTAAAAATTTTGTCATGCAGTTTTTCTTATTTATTTATTTGATACTGTCAACCCTGTGCTTGGGGTCATTACAGGGAGGGTGTCACATGATACATAATATTCACACAATAAAGCAGTATTCAATAGCACATAGTAATAACAGATGCATAATCAGCAACAGGAAAACAAGGAAGAAACAGCAGTGACTATACCGATTAAAAATTGAGAAACAAATGCTGGCACCAAAAGTTAGCGACTATGTGTCTTTAGAGTTGTCTGACGTTGTTTGTTGAACAACCAGGTCAGGTTAGCTATTCTACATTTCTATTGCGCCTGCAAAAAAGGAGTGGTGGAAAACATTCGTGCATGTAAAATGATGTTGAATAGCTCTGCTATTATTAAGACGATCGCATCACCTTCCAGGTGGCTGAAGATATAAATTCTTGTTTATTTTTGTTTGCACGCTTATAATCTTAAAGAGAAATCAGAGGCTCGTTTGCATCTACGATAATTTAAACAATCAAGCACACGGGACTCTAACAAGGCCATGATGGTGTGTGTGCATCTGTATTTACCACATACGAAGTGGACTGCTAATTTTTGTATTCTCTCGATTTTAGTTCTCAGGACCTTCTGGTGAGGTGGCCAGACAATACTGGCGTACTCTAAGACTGGTCTTGTGAATGTTTTGTATATCTAAGACTGGTCTTGTGAATGTTTTGTATGCAGGTAGTTTTACATCCGGTGTGGCATGTTCCAGCTTTTTCTTGAGGAAATAAAGTTTTTTATTTGCCTTAGAAGAGATGTTATCTATATGTGAATGTCACTGTAATGTGTGCGTGATACTAATTCCTAGGTATCTGAAACAAGCGGCATTATTTAAAGGTTGATTTGCGATGTGGTACATGAAAAACAGTTCCCGCTCGCCTGAATGAATATGAGTGAATGTTGTCTTGCCGTAGTTTATTTCCATGTCCCATTTTTTACACCACTCATCTAATGCCTGCAAGTGCCTGTTCAGATTAATTTGCTCACTTTCGCTAGTCACTGGGGAATTTATCAAGCAGTCATCTGCAAACAGTTTCATTTTAATAGGTGCCTTAACTATTGATCATATATCATAAACAAATGTCAGAAAAAGAATTGGTCCTAAAACAGACGCTTGGGGTACGCCTGAGTACACGCGTAGATGTTTTGAACTATAGATTTCAATTCTTACTGCCTGTTGATGTATTGAAAAATAAGCTTCTATTCATTTTAAAACTTCACTTATACTAGGCTTGTGCGAATAGTGAATTTTAGGTTCAAAGCAAATTTGAAGCGAATAGTGATTCTGATCGAATAATTTCTAATCAAATGGTATATATGACATATAAAAAAAGAAATATTCATCATGACCTAACTAACCTACACAATATTTCTTTTGAAGTGAAATAGGAGCCCTATGCAAATGCCTTTTTTTTTTTGTTCAAAGGAAGTCCAAACAACCTTGAGTAGTAGTTTCGGTAAGATGCGAGTGATAACCTGCAAGATACTTAACGTTTTAGTATTTATTACACTTGGATCATATAAGTCGTCATAACAAGCTTAAGTTGATTAATAGGCGTAAGGTATCCGACGTAAGAAGGTATAACATGGAGAGAATTGAACACGCTCTGAAAAACGGAGGAAGCGTCAAAGCAGTGAAGAGGAAACTTGGGATAGGCGAAAATCGGATGTATGCACTAAGGGACAAAGAAGGAAAAATAACTACCAATATGGATAGGATAGTTAAAATAGCGGAGGAGTTTTACAGAGATCTGTACAGTAGCCGGGACAACCACGACTTTAATACTATAAGAACTAGCAGTAACCCAGATGACATCCCACCAGTAATGATAGAAGAAGTCAGAAAAGCTTTGGAGAGCATGCAAAGAGGCAAAGCCGCTGGTGAGGATCAGGTAACATCAGATCTGCTGAAAGATGGTGGACAGATTGTGTTAGAAAAACTAGCCACCCTGTTTATGAGGTGTCTCCTGACGGGAAGAGTACCAGAGTCTTGGAAGAACGCTAGCATCATCTTAATACATAAGAAAGGAGATGACAAGGACTTGAAGAACTACAGGCCGATTAGCTTGCTCTCTGTAGTATACAAGCTATTTACAAAAGTAATTGCTAACAGAGTAAAGAAAACATTAGAATTCAATCAACCAAAGGAACAAGCAGGATTTCGAACAGGCTACTCAACAATCGACCCCATTCATACTATCAATCAGGTAATAGAGAAATGCTCAGAATATAACCAACCACTATACGTAGCCTTCATAGATTACGAGAAGGTGTTTGATTCAGTAGAAATATCAGCCGTCATGCAGACACTGCGGAATCAGGGCGTCGATGAAGTATATATAAACATCCTGGAAGAAATCTACAGGGGATCAACTGCTACCATAGTGCTTCATAAAGAAAGCAACAGAATACCAATCAAGAAGGGTATAAGGCAGGGGGACACAATCTCCCCAATGCTATTTACCGCGTGCTTACAGGAGGTTTTCAGAAGCCTAGAATGGGAACAGTTAGGGATAAGAGTTAATGGAGAGTACCTTAGTAACCTGCGCTTCGCCTATGACATTGCATTGCTGAGTAACTCAGGGGACGAATTGCAACTCATGATTACGGAGTTAGACAAGGAGAGCAGAAAGGTGGGTCTTAAAATGAATCTGCAGAAAACTAAAATAATGTGCAACAACCTCGGAAAAGAGCAGTGCTTCGAGATAGGTATTAGTGCACTTGAAATTGTAAAAAACTATGTTTACTTAGGGC